ACATCTAATGACCACATTAACCTATCACATCTAATGACCACATTAACCTATCACATCTAATGACCACATTAACCTATCACATCTAATGACCACATTGACCTATCACATCTAATGACCACATTAACCTATCACATCTAATGACCACATTAACCTATCACATCTAATGACCACATTAACCTATCACATCTAATGACCACATTAACCTATCACATCTAATGACCACATTAACCTATCACATCTAATGACCACATTAACCTATCACATCTAATGACCACATTAACCTATCACATCTAATGACCACATTAACCTATCACATCTAATGACCACATTAACCTATCACATCTAATGACCACATTAACCTATCACATCTAATGACCACATTAACCTATCACATCTAATGACCACATTAACCTATCACATCTAATGACCACATTAACCTATCACATCTAATGACCACATTAACCTATCACATCTAATGACCACATTAACCTATCACATCTAATGACCACATTATCCTATCACATCTAATGACCACATTAACCTATCACATCTAATGACCACATTAACCTATCACATCTAATGACCACATTAACCTATCACATCTAATGACCACATTAACCTATCACATCTAATGACCACATTAACCTATCACATCTAATGACCACATTAACCTATCACATCTAATGACCACATTAACCTATCACATCTAATGACCACATTAACCTATCACATCTAATGACCACATTAACCTATCACATCTAATGACCACATTAACCTATAACATATCGATTACTTACAATTATTGTGGTTGATAGCCCCGATGACATAGAGGGCAGAAACCTTGTCAAACTCATAAAGAAGGTTAGCCACGCCCCACTGTGTTGTAAGAATCGTCAAGGCCGGCTAAGTAATTAAATAACTAATTTATGCATTAATCTAACCTCTTCCTGGCCTCGAGCGATATATGTTAATTGTCTTCCGGTGAAGCCAGCCATGTTTTATGTATTTTTTATTTTATTCAAATTAAGCAATTAGAGAAAGTGCATGGTTTTTTAAAATGGCAATAGGAAATGACGTCAATGTGATTATACAAACGGAAATAAGATTCATCACTAACTCCTATACGTGTCTCCGCGCTGTAACATTGATTTATATTTTTACTTTTGATTTCATTCAAAGCGTTTCGTGCAATAAAGACTACCCTACCCCACCCCCCTCTCGCAATTATATTCAGCAACTCCTCAACGGTTCGGCACTTAAAGGAAAAATTTGATTCAACATTTTTTTTTTGTTTCCACGTCGGCATTCATTAAATGACAGAAACACAAATGAGATTGCATGAGTGGGTTTTTTTTTTCCTGTGCGGTCACCGCTAAAGGATTGCGAGCAGTGGCGTAGGCAGGGGGGGTTAGGGGGTCATAACCCCCCATAGACCCCTCGGTATATAGAAAAAGTATGAGGGGGGGGGGGTGCAAATCGAAAGTTTGATGGGGGGGGGTGCAAATCGAAAGTTTGAGGGGGGGGGGGGTGCAAATCGAAAGTTTGAGGGGGGGGGGCAAATCGAAAGTTTGTCCCCGGGTAAAAATTGGACCCCCCCTTGAGACGATCCTGGCTACGCCACTGATTGCGAGCAAGTGGAGAGTCATTTAGGGGGCAATGGTGGGCCAAACGGTGTCCTGTGGAAGGTCAGCGTGTTCCCTTGGGGATATGTTATTGTAAGAACTGAACGGAAGCAAGGCATGATAAGACGACACGGTGCCAGAAATACTCAAACATGCCTGGTTGCTGTATTGACTGGGTGGGCTGGATGGCGTCGTAAAAAAAAAAATACCACTCCTATTCGCTAATGCCCACTGTTTTTGTATCGCATGGCTGTGTGTTGATGCCCACTTTGTAAAATTAGCAGTGTGTCAATGCCACCTTTGTATAAATGGCCTAGTGTGTTAATGTCCACTTTGTAAAAACGGCATAATGTGTCGATGCCCTCTTTGTAAAATTAGCAATGTGTCAATGCCGGATATGCCCACTTTGTATAAATGGTATACTGTGACCTTAGCTGTATAAAAATATATTATGTCAGTTTCCACAAGGAGAAAAATGAATACAGTGAGCCTAGTGTTTAATTACTAATAACTTGCTATCCGCGGTTATGCAGCATTTTGTGAAGACTACTGAAAAATGTTTCTTCTAGACTTTTATCTCCGGGGGGGGGGGGGGGGGGGGGGGGGAACGGACTAAATTTTCCAGGGGGGGGGGGGCGGACATTAGTATATGTTTTCTATATAAATTCCTTTTTATTATGGTGGGGGCGGTAGACTTTCTTCGGGGGGGGGGGGGGGGAGGGGTTCTCCCCTCGAAGATATTGCCTGGATAGAAACTCTGCTACTGAAGACCAAGGGATGTCACCTCTTGTTCATTGAAGAGTTGAAGAGTCTGATAAGTTTCTTCTTTCTGAGACCGATTGAAAAAGGTTTTGGTTAATGAAATCAATGGGGTAAAACAGTTGAACACTACTTAGTTTGCCTAATAGACCGCCAGGTCCAAAAATGTAACTGTAACTTTTTTATTGTTTTATTTTACTGCCAATTTCTTTCTCATTGCTTTACAACTCACTTTTTAAAAATAAAATAAAAGATTTACCTCCCTTGGTAATTAAAAAATTAAACCTCACATATTTTCTCTTTCACTCACGATACAATATTTACAACTTAACAAAGACATATATCAGCACAAATATTTTAAAGCTTTATTGTTTAGTCAAATACAAAAATATCATAGTACAAACGAAAGGACGCAAGCGTTTAAACAATGAATATATCACGGCATTTGTTAAATGTATCTCTGGTGTGAGAGAAGTAAATCCATCCCAGCCTTGGCTATTTTGTTTCGTTTACATGTAAACACAAAAGAGTTGGAGAGTAACATTTTTATAAACCAAAATATCGAACAAACAAAATCTAAAATTTTAATAGATTTTTAACGCTATTTCTGTAATAAAATGTATTGTTAAGTATAGGTTGATATTTTAACTTATTTTATTAGTTAAAGATAAAAATGATGTCGTAACATTTGAAAATAGTTTCAACATATTTTTTTTTTTTTGCAAAATATATGTGAAGCATTTAGATGAAGTTTAAAGTATGAAAACAATGTGCCACATTAAGAAGTATTACAAATCTAAGACCCGAATCTTGCGCGCGCATGTGCTGCCATTGTTGACGCAGGCGAAAATCACGCAATCCACGGTGTAATAGATCAAACATAGTTTTATCTTTGGTATCATTTTGTTGTACATTTACAAAGTCATCTAAGTCATTATATACATTTGGCCGAAATAGCAGGAAGCTATTTACTTTACTTACAGCGCCACTGGAAGTCGGTATCATCAAATACGAGTAAAGCAATTCACCAGAACAGATGAATGCTTAGTCAAAAACCTGCATAATTGAGCAATATGTTAATGTCTATTAATTTACTAATCTGTCAAGATTAGTTCACTTCATTAAAGTCAGCTTTAAGGAAAGCGTTTGAACAATATCAGCTGTAGGCAAAATTTCCGATCAATTTCAGAATAGACCATTTCAAATAGTTCCAGCGTCTTAAAGCTCCTTTTAGTTTTCTGTAAGTCGTACATGTGGGTCCCATTTCATAATTCCTCTCATTCCTACTCCGTTTTCATCACGTTTTTTATTTTATTTTCAACTTCCTTTTGTTTTGTTTGCTACAAGAACATAAACATCCACATGAAAATAAAATTAGGTTTAGCTTTGCACATTATTTCCGGAATTATTTATTATGAGGACTCCTAGGTTGTTTTCTATACACTGGATGCTGAGTTTTGGCACGCTTCCTCGACTCAGAATTTGGCAGAAACAGGTCTTCGCCCATTGGCCAGCTTCCAGCATAAAACCCAGCCGTTCTCTGCCCACTGGACAGCATCCTCTAGAACCCAGCTGTTTTCTGTCCACTGACCAGCCTCCAGCATAAACCCAGCTGTTCTGTCCACTGACCAGCCTCCTCTAGAACCCAGATGTTCTCTGCCCACTGACCAGCCTCCTCTAGAACCCAGCTGTTCTCTGCCCACTGACCAGCCTCCTCTAGAACCCAGCTGCCCACTGGCCAGCCTCCTCTAGAACCCAACTGTTCTCTGTCCACTGGTCAGCCTCCTCTAGAACCCAGCTGTTCTCTGTCCACTGACCAGCCTCCTCTAGAACCCAGCTGCCCACTGGCCAGCCTCCTCTAGAACCCAACTGTTCTCTGTCCACTGGTCAGCCTCCTCTAGAACCCAGCTGTTCTCTGTCCACTGACCAGCCTCCTCTAGAACCCAGCTGCCCACTGGCCAGCCTCCTCTAGAACCCAACTGTTCTCTGTCCACTGGCCAGCCTCCTCTAGAACCCAACTGTTCTCTGTCCACTGGTCAGCCTCCTCTAGAACCCAGCTGTTCTCTGTCCACTGACCAGCCTCCTCTAGAACCCAGCTGCCCACTGGCCAGCCTCCTCTAGAACCCAACTGTTCTCTGTCCACTGGCCAGCCTCCTCTAGAACCCAACTGTTCTCTGTCCACTGGTCAGCCTCCTCTAGAACCCAGCTGCCCACTGGCCAGTCCCCAGCATGGAACCCAGCTGTTCTCTGTCCACTGACCAGCCTCCTCTAGAACCCAGCCGTTCTCTGCCCACTGACCAGACCAGCATAGAAACCAGCTGTTCTCTGTCCACTGACCAGCCTCCTCTAGAACCCAGCCGTTCTCTGCCCACTGGCCAGACCAGCATAGAAACCAGCTGTTCTCTGTCCACTGACCAGCCTCCAGCATAAACCCAGCTGTTCTCTGACCACTGACCAGCCTCCAGCATAAACCCAGCTGTTCTCTGTCCACTGACCAGCCCCCAGCATAGAACCCAGCTTTTCACTGTCCACTGACCAGCCTCCTCTAGAATCCAACTGTCCACTGACCAGCCTCCAGCATAAACCCAGCTGTTCTCTGACCACTGACCAGCCTCCAGCATAAACCCAGCTGTTCTCTGTCCACTGACCAGCCCCCAGCATAAACCCAGCTGTTCTCTGTCCACTGACCAGCCCCCAGCATAGAACCCAGCTGCCCTGCCTGTAGTTTTTTATTTACACCAGGTCGACGACCCCGCCCCGCAGCTGTCAGGACTGGAGGAAGAACTTGGTCTCGCTGCCAGAGGATGACCTCTCGCTGTCCGTGCAGCGGTTGCCCTTAGTGCACGGCGGGACCGTCTGTTTTTTACACAAGCACTGGCAGTGATGGGGCGCGACGTTCTGCTTGGGGGTCGCGTTGGTCGCGTGCTCGTGGTAGTAGGAGCTGTCGTGGTGGTAGTCCGTGCGACGACGGAGCAGGTACATGGCGAAGATGACCAGCGCCAGCAGCACGCACACGCCGGCGACTGGCACGGCGATGTAGATGGGGTTGATGATCCGGGTCTGTGACGTGCGGTGCTGGGCGTCGGAGCAGTTCAAAACTGGGGGGACGAATGTGCTGGGGCTGTCCACGGGGACATCTTTATCTGGGGAGTAGAAGTAAAGGATGTAAGAAATGCAGTGGGAAATACTGAAGATTGCTATGACACGTTTCTGTTATGGGGAATTTACGATTATATCCAACCATATATAGCATCAATTCTTTTAGATTGAGATTGATATGTTATGTATGCTTGTTTAAGTTTCGTGTAATTTATTGATATCATCTTTTCTCGTTTTTGCCCAAGACACATGGGGCCGCATTTCCTGATATAATGGGTACATTTATTCTGATCCCTAGATCTCAAGAAACGATAACTTGATCTTCATATAGGTAAAATATCTTATCTGGTCGGAAGGATCTTAATAGTTAATTTGAATAAATATAGCGACAAACTCTGCACGTGTATGTACATTTTAACGTTTACTATTACAGATAAAACAATGTTTTGTTAGGTTTTACTACAATGATAACTATATCATTGGCCAGATTTTTGCTATTGTCAGTGTTATAGACCGAGGTGTTTAGTGACTTGACTATAGGAGTCGCACAAGTTCACGGCCACAACGTACCTGTGACGCCAGGCGTCGAGATGATGGGTGTTGCAAATTTGTTACATAAATCCTTGTGATTACAGCAGTACAAGGCCGGCCACTCCACCCCCTCCCCCATCAGGGGTCGGCGGTTCTCACACGCCAGGGGCGTTGGGTCGCAGCCCCGTTGTAGGTTGTTCTGATAGAGTTCCGTGTAGCAGGTCTTGGTGCCGACACAGGTCGTCTTCCCGCTGTCCTTGCACTCCTGAGTGTTGCAGTCGCACCTGATGATACCTGCAGATGCAAGACATTAATAGTTGACAAACGTTGAAGGCACATTTATTATACTTTACACTCTGGACAAGGGCGTATCAATGGTGCAAATGGAATATCATTCATTCTTAAATCAGTGTGTGTTGTTGTTGTTGTTGTTGTTGTTTGACAACATTGTATCAATAATAAGATTATATGTAATTATTTAGACATATATATTGACAATGCTACTAGTATTTGTCTATTTTTTTTATTAAGTTTACTATTATTAGGCTTTTTTAAAAGAGTGTTATACTTCTTATCACTTTATCCGTCATCCTTTATGATTATCAAAAGCTAACGTCTACGAAACTGCACAGTGTATGGTCTGAGCAATAACATTTGTACTAAGTGACTTCATACCGTTTCGTAACTGAGTTAACGAATACACATATTAGAAAGAAAAAAAACGCGGCTCTAATTAAAACAACAGGAAAAAGTATGTCTATTTGTCTGTTTACATCAAGTTTGTAAATAAGAATACACCAAGATGTGGCGGCGTCTCCCGTGTTTATCAACACACAGCGGTGAATGGCGCCAACCCACAATATTCGCGCCAAAATCTCCCCAAATGCAATTTTAGAAATGGGTTCGTGCAATCGGTCATCATAGATATTCTTGTTCAAGAAATAAAAATACGGTGTAACGTTAAAAGGATTGGGCGCTATTGCTTTTTGTTGTTGTTTTTTTTTTTAGTTTTGTGTCGCTTTGTGAAGATATAGGGATATGTTGTAAAACAGCATGGGCTTCAATGAATGAATAAATGTTTTAATTAATGAACCTAGTAATGAATATGGATGCGAGTGCACAGTTGTAAAAGACACAAGACACCTCAGCTGGTGCACACGATTTTCCTCCACTGTGATCCGACGCTATTATATTCGGCACTTCTTCTTATATACAGGTCTATTAGCTGGGGTACCATCTGACACGACACCCCTCCTTCACACGATACATACACAACACTGAACATAGACATACATCCACACCACACAACACCCCTGCATTACACACACCATGGCATTTCAAATGACACTTGAAATGATATTCACGACATTACAACCTAGATACACGACACTACCTAGCACACGGTGTCTTCCCCTTACACAGCGCACACTACACACAACACGCACGACATTAATATGTTCATAAGTCAGGGCGATCCTTTAAGTCAACAATACCCCCCCCCTACCCTTGTCCCCGCGGCCCCCGACTGAATTTTAAGTAATGGAACCCCAGGACAAGAGAGTTTAGGGTCCCGGCTTAAGGGCACCAGAGTAATACGAGCCAGAACTGGGATTAACCGCCATTGTGACCCACCAGTAACCCTTTTAATTTATTTTGTACATTTAAGTTTAAGAGCTTTAATGGAGTTATTGATGGCATTTTGTTTGCTTAGGCTTAGACGGAGGTTAAGATTGGTCGCCAAGTCGATGAGAACATCGGATTTAGGTGTGTGTGGGGGGGGGGGGGGGTAGCCTGGTGGTTGCCACCAGGTGGATCTGGGGACATGCTAGGATGGGATAGGGTAGGATGGGATCTGGGGACATAGTAGGATGGGATAGGGTAGGATGGGATCTGGGAATATGGTAGTATGGGAACTGGGGACATCGTAGGATGGGATCTGGGAATATGGTAGTATGGGAACTGGTGATATCGTAGGATGGGATCTGGGAATATGGTAGTATGGGAACTGGCGATATCGTAGGATGGGATCTGGGAATATGGTAGTATGGGAACTGGTGACATCGCAGGATGGGATCTGGGAATATGGTAGTATGGGAACTGGTGACATCGTAGGATGGGATCTGGGAATATGGTAGTATGGGAACTGGGGACATCGTAGGATGGGATCTGGGAATATGGTAGTATGGGAACTGGTGACATCGTAGGATGGGATCTGGGAATATGGTAGTATGGGAACTGGGGACATCGTAGGATGGGATCTGGGAATATGGTAGTATGGGAACTGGTGACATCGTAGGATGGGATCTGGGAATATGGTAGTATGGGAACTGGAGACATCGTAGGATGGGATCTGGGAATATGGTAGTATGGGAACTGGTGACATCGTAGGATGGGATCTGGGAATATGGTAGTATGGGAACTGGTGACATCGTAGGATGGGATCTGGGAATATGGTAGTATGGGAACTGGGGACATCGTAGGATGGGATCTGGGAATATGGTAGTATGGGAACTGGTGACATCGTAGGATGGGATCTGGGAATATGGTAGTATGGGAACTGGGGACATCGTAGGATGGGATCTGGGAATATGGTAGTATGGGAACTGGTGACATCGTAGGATGGGATCTGGGAATATGGTAGTATGGGAACTGGAGACATCGTAGGATGGGATCTGGGAATATGGTAGTATGGGAACTGGTGACATCGTAGGATGGGATCTGGGAATATGGTAGTATGGGAACTGGTGACATCGTAGGATGGGATCTGGGAATATGGTAGTATGGGAACTGGTGACATCGTAGGATGGGATCTGGGAATATGGTAGTATGGGAACTGGTGACATCGTAGGATGGGATCTGGGAATATGGTAGTATGGGAACTGGTGACATCGTAGGATGGGATCTGGGAATATGGTAGTATGGGAACTGGGGACATCGTAGGATGGGATCTGGGAATATGGTAGTATGGGAACTGGTGACATCGTAGGATGGGATCTGGGAATATGGTAGTATGGGAACAGGTGACATCGTAGGATGAGATCTGGGAATAAGGTAGTATGGGAACTGGTGACATCGTAGGATGGGATCTGGGAATATGGTGGTATGGGAACTGGGGACATCGTAGGTTGGGATCTATAGGTATGTTAGGGTGGGATCTAAGGATGTGATTGGATCTCTTGAACAACTATAGTTTATTATGTCAACTCTGTAGTCCTTCTACAAGGAGTTTGTAATCCGTATTTTGTAAAAAGTCAGATAAAAAGTTCACCAAGGCCATCGAGGCTGGGGAGTCAGCAGAATGTCACACTGGGGAGTCAGTACAATGTCACACTGGGGAGTCAGTAGAAAGTCGCACTGGGGAGTCAGTAGAAAGTCGCACTGGAGAGTCAGTAGAAAGTCGCACTGGGGAGTCAGTAGAAAGTCGCACAGGGGAGTCAGCAGAGAGTCACACAGGGGAGTCAGTCCGGACCCAGGGTCTCAAGTTCCAAGTTTGTAAAGCTGGGGACCAATCCGGCATATTAGCGCCGTGTTTGCTCTCCCATCCGGCCGTGCCTCGAGTGGCCGGGAATTCCCGATTGCTTGCGGAGAATTTGTGTATGTTAAATGTTGATTTAGTGGTGATCGCTTATCAAGATCATCGCGAGCAGTTTTTTTTCTTGTTTTTTTTTTCTTGGTTAAGACACCCCAGTCGCGGGGCTTGAGGTAGAGTAGTTTCCCCCTAGTTGTGTTCAAACAAATGGCTTATTATTGGTTTATGAGGGGGTTGAGTTTTATACACGGGGTAGTAGGGGGCTTATTATTTATACACTAAGCAAAAGGTTAGGGTACCAACGGCTTACCCGTTAGGGTAAAGCGAAAAAGAGATCTCCCGAAAACCCGGGGGACTGGTCTGTGAAAATTAGGGTCATGGCACATTTCCAGCTGTCTTGACCCAAAGAAGTAGAGGGGTATTTGATAGTACAACAGTTATAGCAGGGAGGTATTGGGGTACTTGATAGTACCACTGTTTTAGCAAGGAGGTTGTGGGGTACTTGATAGTACCACATATTTAGCAGGGAAGTAGTAGGGTTCCAAAATTCAATTGTAGGGGGGGGGGGGGTCAGGGAATTGCTTTTTAAAAAGCTCTATTATATTGAACAATAGCGTCGAAGATGCTTACAATTTTTTCTATAGCTTAATTAAGTTAACAATCAATTCATATGTATTTTATTGGTGGCGTAATTTGATATTACCAGCTAGAGTTCATTTATTTTATCATGCCCCTTCTAACTTTATTACTTTATTACAATGTTGTATTGCTGCTTCCTTGTGTCCATGAGGAAATACCTTCCCACTAAATGCTCACATAACTCACAAGCTGTATTCAATCGGTTCATTAATGCCAACGTGGGGCAACAAGAATCAATGGCCATTACTGCAAGACGGACAGGCCGGTATTTCTTCTAATACCGCATATCATTTACAAACCTCACTTCATCTCAGAGATTAGTTTTGTATCACCCACCCCCACCCCTTTTAACCGGCTAGAGGTGTCTGGTGCTTTCTGCAGACAACCCCTCCCCCCCCCCACACACACACACACATCGTCTGCGTGTTCCAACATTAAAGAGTGCAAATTATCGGAAAAGTGACAAATTTGAAATTTAAATAAGATGGCCGTGCCTAAAGTCTGGTCAGGAAGCCCGCCACCAAGTCTCTGGGCGCCATGTGTGCACCGCCCCACCCCCGCCCCTAAGACACAAGTCCACCAGCAAGGGGCGACATTAAATCATAAAATCCCATTTCATCAGGCGCCAACCCACCGCCCTGCTGCCCAGAATCACCGTTGATTTTCTCCACTTGAATAATCAATATTTTTTTTCTCAGCACCGGTGGTCTATTTTCCTTAAATAATTGATGAGCACGTGATTGTTTTAGCTTTAAAATTAAATCTGTCCTTCGCGGATTTTCTGTACGTTTTATTTTAGAGAAGGGCCATTTTTTTTCTTGCCACGTGCTATGACATAGCTAGAAACATAGCACAGAAAATCATAAAGAGGAAAAATTTTGGAGTAAATTAAAGTTTTAGACCTGACACTCCACGGAGAAGATGAAACAGAGTTCGGCTGTTTCTTTAACGATGGAATTTTAATAGTGTCTGATTAGTACTATGTCCAGCCGTCCTTACATGTGTCATCTATATTCAGGTACCCATTTGTGCTGAATGGACTCCAGCATGTTTACAGACAGGAGCCCATGAACCGAAAAATTTGTTTCGGGTGTGTTGTTTGTTTACTGATGAATATAGCCAATAA